TGTTCGGTCTTTTTTATTTCAAAGGTTGTTCAGTCTTTATGACTCATTAAATTTGAAGAGGGAAAACTTTGGAATGCATCAAATACTATAAAATTATTTAGTACATTATTCCCTGTGACAATTATCAGGGCATAGATTGTCTATCAGCTTCTTAAGGAGTCATAATCATTCCCACTTCCCCTTTGCCTATCCCACAACTCTTGACACACTCTCACACTGTCTTGACATAGAGTTAGTAGTTTGAGTTAGTAATATTTGTGGTTTGTACCTTTACGTTACAATCTACATTTTCAGCAAATATTTTTTAACTGAAGTTAACTAACTCATAACAACCACCAACCAGCATATTAGTTAACAATATATTTTTTTTCTCATCACTCTGGGTGAGTTGGGTAGTGATGGGGACAAAAATAGACATAGCAAAGAAAGATAAGGACAATGGAACATTTATATATGTATACACAATTCTTCTCAGATGCTAAGAGTGGTGAAAATTAGAACTTCATTGTCAAGATTCCTAAAACGAATACACTCAAGGGAAAAGTCCACACACAGTTTAAGAAGGTCTGATTATTATTCATTTTCTAAATTTAGTCATAGGTCTACCTTGATTTACTCATTGGAAAATCAAAGTATTAAAGTAGATGGTCTAAGAATCCTTCCAAGTTCAACTCTCAGTGATATTGTCAGTGAAGCTCCACCTTATTTTGTTCTGCCAAGTATTTATATTTATATATTTGTTATTAGTAATCTCCAAGTTCATCATCATTACTTTAAAAATGCTGGCCAATGATGAGATTTGATCAATACAATGACCAAGTACCAATGAGGTTTCTCAGTCAGTGTGCACATATTTAAGACCCAAAGCATCTTTGGAGAGAGCATAGCACAGTGATGAGTAATGTGTACTCTGGACTACCACTGGCTGCGTATGAGTTCCACCTTCAGCTTTTACTCTCCGTGTGACCTTAGGCAACTCAATAAAGCTCTTTGTGCCTCATTTTCATAATTTTGTAATAGGGGAATACTAGTAGTACTTACCTTTTCAATTTTTCAGGTGTTTTTACTGTAAAGTTCCGCTGCCTGGAACATGCTAAAGGAGCAATAAATGATAACAATTATTATTGTCCTTAAATACTTTCTATGGACATCATATCAGAACAAATCATCTGGATCTTTGTCAATTTAGTAATGAATTTATTACTTATAAAAGTAATATAATAACCACCATACATGAGCACCTATTTTTGGACATTAGATAAAACTATAATATTGTAAGAATTACTTATTTCATCTGTTTTGTTATTTATGAGTAGTAATATCGACCTGTCATGATGCATATATTGATTAAAAGCAGACAGAATAAAAGGAAAAGTTGTACCCATGCATTAGAGAAAGACCTAAAGAGTACACAGTGAAATAAAGAGGTATCAAGTCAAGA